GGTGGGTTGTGATAAGTCAGTAAAGCATCTCTGTTACCTTGATTAATAATAAACAAAAATGGCATGGCACAGGCAGACGACCATAGGCTAAGCAGGATTTTAACTTGAAGAAGGATTTCATTCACAACGAATTGGAGATCCAACTAGAAACTAAATCTACGTGAGAGTGCAAATGGAAAACATGACGAAGAACGTAGGATGTAAGATATAAGAGGAGATTTATAGTTGGCAAGTTGATTCTGAGTCACCACGTGTAGCTCGAAGCCATTATTGTTTATCCCCAATGTAGTGATTCTGTTCCCTAGTCAGTCTCTGCCCCCTCCGTGAAGCCACAGATGGTCAACATGGTACATAGTAGACATAGGTAACAACCTCGTCACCATATATCATACTGACCTCCAGAATTGAAGTAAAGTATATCGACTTACCAACATGACGCAAAAGGGTCCGTTTTGTCTGTAAAAAAAGCGAACAAAACGTTAATTTTGATGCGCAATGATTTGAGAATAAAAACATAACTGCAATACTGCCAAAGGTTATAACACATATTAACAATGTTTATAGTAGGAAATAGAAGTGTTTGTCGTGGATTCGAAATCAACGCATGAGAGTCAATGTTGTGCCGCTAATAATTGCTTATTAATGTATTCTTAGAAAATATCATTTGTTGCAATAGATACACTCAAATGACATCACGATTGAGACGGTATATTTCTAGAGTAAAACTCTAACAACTTACAAGACACGTATACTATGATACACTATATCTCTGGTATAGTTACATATACCTATAAGGAAACACGGCAAGAAAAGTTGTAAAACAGAATAGTTTTTTCAAAGGTCGCAATATTTCGTATAACTCCCGGCGACGTAAAACCACTTACAAGTTGCAGCATTGACATATGAACATTAACATCTGCCCCAGTGACATCAGTTATCCAAAACCAACACGTATGAATCACACAAGAATGTTACCTTATGAAAACAACTAATACATATATATGATCTTTCTTTAGGAGTAAAGAAATCCAAATGAAATATTTAATCTAAAAAAACCCATTTAATTGGGTATTAGTGCATTAAGTTTTCACAGAGAAGAAGTTTTCAAAAAGATTTTAATATTTAGTGATATTTTTGCCAGTTATGAAAGATTTCAAATGTGTGTTTAAAAATCTAAATTATTTAAAAAAATAATGCGTAGTCTGCATACCTTCTGATTTGGGTTCCCGAACCAGATGGAGAGGTCGTCTCTGTCTATCCATCTCGTCCCATTTGAACCGTAACATTGTAGACGTGGTGCCTGTTGAAGATCATCCTTCTTCACCATTTTCTCCTCTGCAGTGAACCGGAAGTCGTTGTGGAGGTAGAATTGGTATCCAAGATGACTTTGGTGATTCAACGCAAGAATCCGCTTGAGAAGAAACTCAAGAATACTGAGTAGGTTAATTCCAGTTCCTGTTGGTACGGAGTGATCTGTATCCTTCTTGAACATAGTAACCTTCATTGCATTGTCGCTGCAGTTGATAATCATGTTCCACAAGCAATCCACAGACAGGCAAGCAAATCCGCGTCGGATAAACGTTAAACCATCATGTCCGAATTCTCTCAGGCGCTGAAACCTGTGAATGCAGGAGGCAATCATTTTGTCCCAAATAGCCTGTGGGATGAATGGGTTGTCGAACTTGGCACAAATAGTGACACTTGTGACAGTGTCAGGATCATCAAGCACTGGACGAATTATCTCGGGATCTGCAGTTTGAAGAATGCTTGGTACTATGAAGTAGTCAACCTCTGCATCTACTGATATTGGTTTAGTAAGTAAACCGAGAGTCTCCATTGCGATGACGAGTTTGTCCTCCTCTGCAAGGAACTTACTTTTCTCATAACGTCCCCACAGTTGTCTGATAAGGTCTAGTGATAAAACGCCGGATTTCTCATACTGCTTCCACTGAAGTGTTTGCTTGGGTGATAGGTCGGCTATGAACTTCGGGTCAGTGATGATGGCTTTGAATGCATCAATTATCCATTGTGGTTGAAGAACAATAAAAGGTTTCTTGCTATGAAGATCAAAACAGAGGAATGATCCGGAAAACCTCAGTCTCCTACCAAAACAAAATGAAAACAAATATAAAAAACCCACTTTTTTCAGATATCTTTTTTTTTAATATAAACATTCTGATATTGCACATGCTAGACATTTCTACATACCTTAGGAAGTTCATGATGTCAGGTTTTGCTAATGGCACTGATGTTTTGCGGTTTATTTCTAGCAATTCATCATACGTAAGGATAACGTTTCCTCTAATCTTTAGTCTGACCAGCGCGTATTCCAATGCAACCCATCTTGCAGGTACAGGCTTCTCCCATTGGGACTGGAGTTTGGCAATCTCTATGATCTTGTTCCATATTTCCTTATACATATGTTGGTTTTTATTGCAATCATTTAAATTAGCAACTGGAAACATTCCCTGGACGTGGGCGTCAATAATTTCACCGATTTCAGGTTCCTCGTACAGCTTTTCTAGCACTGAGATGAACAATTCTTCCTGTTTTTCTTTCTGTGTTAATAAATAATATGTCATGTAACCTTTATTTTGCTCTATATATCACTAGCATGCAAAGTAGTAGTTGATGTGCAAATTACTTTTGTTTTCAGTTAAAGACATCCAGAACAACCCTAGGGTGAAAAAGGTGCTTTATCATGACCTATACACATAAATGCACACTGACCTATCACATGTAGCTGTTAACATTTTCGACAGTTTATCACATATAAATGAATTGTATTGACTGCAATATATCCTTTCATGAAAATGATATTTTTTGGGAAACAGATTGGCTACTTTCTAGTATTCTTCATCATTTAAAAAAAATTTATATCTGTAGACTTTACATTGTTACAATTTGTTACAATTGGTGTAATTGGATTGTTTCTCAAACAAAATAGAAAACGATTTTAACACAAACATTATGATTTACCAACTCTATTTATAATGGAAGTCCTTACATCAGAAGAAACAAGGTCCAGGTATGATCCAACAAGGATGACAGGAGGCGTTCCTTTACCTTGTGCTGCTTCATCAATAGCATAGGTAGCGAACACCTTCAGCCAGAACTCGATTTGCTCTGTATAATAAAAATACTACAATTATTTTTTTAACGATGAATTTTTCATTTTTAACGCTAGGAGAGCAGTTACAATGGCGATGCATTCAGATGTTCAAACTAAGATATAAATGACAGGACATCAACGTCTCGAATGTTAATTCCTAGGACTTTTTGTTTGGAAATTAATGTTTTGAAATAAAGTTATCAATTACAGGTATCCGAAGCTATCATGTATCTTATTCACTGTTGAATAGTTGGGCAGCATTTCTGTATAAGGTAACTTACTATGAGTCGGTATATAGCTTTAAAAAAAATAGCTCACTGTGACCTCCGTTTGACCTTTGACTCCTGCCTCGAGTTCTAAAAGAACAGGTTTCCTAAGCATATATCATCCACTCACTCATGAATGGACATCTAACTTTGTATATAACGAACATCATTGGAATGTGATTTGTCACATCCTTATACGATGTCACTTGTTTTTTTTTATTGTTACATCTACTATACTAGCGATTCAAGGATGGGGGGTGTCACGCTTTAAGTTAAATTTAGTTTATAATATCAAAGTATGTGATTTGATTTGGTTTGGTTATTCATGTTTTTTTTTTATACGTGTTTGAAAAAAGTGAAAACCCTGTAAAGGATAAATTGTTAAAATGTTACCGTAACCATCCTTTGCTCTGCGTGGATCAAGACACATATCCACGTCGAACACCAGGACGAAGACCATGTTGCTTGACATGAAGCAGTGTTGTGTGTTATAAAACACCTTTTCTCCTCCGAAGTCATATATTGTAATGCGGCCCTTCAATCCAAAGTCATTCCAATCCTCCATGTTTGTGTCCATCACTTCCTCCATAACGCGTCTTTGTTCACCAGACAGTTCTTCTGAACGGGAAGGATTTCTGTGCGATATTTCAACAATTTGACTTTCTTCTGTAATTGGAAGATTGTATTTGATAATTGACGATCTGAATTTTTTTAATACATTCAAGAATATACTGATGATTAGATTGTTTATCGGAAAACTTTCGCCCAGTCAATATTCGTTGTTTGTAGGATAATTCGAAATTCGACCAGTGAAAATTTCGTTATTCATATTTAAGTATAATATAGGGATTAAACATTTTTTTTTAATTTTCATACCGTTCAATCCATATACAGTTTATCTATAAAACAAATGTTTGATTTGATTTACTTGTTCTTAAATATTTATTTATTAACTGCGTTTTTGTATGCGTCGTCCTTTAAACGACATTGGCGGAACAGTCGTATTTAGATCAAATGTGCACCAAATGATAAATTCGCCGTCATTGCGGGGGGCGAACAAGACGAGTTAAACAGCGGCGTAATTTTCCGGTATTCAGTACTCCATAATTCCACAATCAACGTTATTGAAAGCACATATACATAACATTGACTATCAGTATATCATTTAAGTAATATATTTTGCTACATTTGGAGCAGTATTGTTTGAAAACTTGATTGAGATTTGAGGCACTAGGTAGATGATGCTTTGCTTAATATGTAAGTTGATAAGTTTTGATATATTTAACATCTCTATTATATTAAAGTTTGTCTTTCGAGGTACCTGTCTTTTCCCCAGCTGACGATACAGATGCTTTCATAGTTGATATTGCTGCCGCGGGGTTATCTTTGTGTTGTTGTGGTGTGGTTGGAGACGTTTTATCTGTTTGATCAATGATGTGTTTAAGACGCTGACGACTCGTCTTGATTTCGCCTTCCTCATCAAGTTTTTGACGGAGGCCAGTGTTCGGGTTGTACCCTAGAAAGTTGACATATACATCAGCGGTATCCGTCGAGCCCGGTCCGTGTTCCGGAATATATTCCTGTTTAAGTTGTCGGACGAAACAAGACTTGCCAACTCCATGGTGACCAACGACAGCAATGGTGATATTACAAGGGTTTTCCACATTGTCAGCTATTCCAGAGGTATATTGCTGCTGCTGCTGCTGCTGTCTCCGCTGCTGTAGGTCGTCACATTTCACTAAACAAAACACCATTATTTGACATTTAAACATTGCTATTTTTCCAGTTTGTAGACAGTTCCAGATTTTAGAATGCCTGTTTAAACATCATTTCTGAATTTTATGAAATCAAGGAATTCAAATGTTAATTACATATTTTTCATAGATACAAAGTATTTGCACTTATGATAATCAATCAACAGTCATGCATTTATTTAGTGATAAACATTGCAGTAGTAAACAGAAAAGATGATATTCCTGCAATAATACCTGAAATCAGAAGCGCAATGCTGAAACAGGGGAGTTAATTCCGTGATAATCACAAAATTGATTACGTCACACGCAATACACGCAACCTATTGAAAACAAGGGGAGATAACTCCGGCGGTAACGCGAACATTGATCGAAAGAGAGAGAGAGAGAGTCCCGGAGAAAATACCTGAAATCAGAATGTCAAAAAGTTAGAAACAAGGGGAGATACGTCCGTCGGTAAATGCCAAATTGATGACATTACACGCAATACACACACATTGTGAAGTGACGTCTAGGGGAGGGGGCGTATGTTTAGGTGGTTGCTAAGGCTAATATGGCGGATTTCCTTAGCAACCTCCCCCCCCGAACCTCCCCAATCCCCCAACCCCCATAACGTCTCTTCATCAACTAACATGTATGTGTGTCGATATGTAAATATATGTGTTCGTTTATGTGTTTGAGGAATTATCTCCAGTGTATTTGTTTATAATATTGGAAAATCATGATTCAATTCCTTCGTTTTCAAATAAGTATCGATCTGAAAAAAGCACACAACAATTTACTTTATCTAATATATTTATAAATCGCGTGGCATTGCAGTATCATTGTATTTATCTTAAACTGATTCGTGTGAGAATTTCCAAACAGACGCGTCAACAGATTGACGAGCATGTATTTGTAGAAAACAGCATTGTATAAACGTTGATCATTTATCGAATTATCGGGAAGACTCCATCCAACTGGGGGATGTTTTAAAAAGTCACCGGCGTACATGTGACCTCGATTATTTGAAAACATTATGGGGCACGTGATGTGACTATTATGTTGACAAATGTATGATGAAGTGATGATCGCAATGAAGATACTTGCATCAGACTAATATGAAATATTCATGATTATAAGATTCGAAAAAACTTCACTGTTCCTTTCTTGACAGGAACATCATTCAAATCTTGCACAATTATAGCTAAACAGTTCCTACAGTCAGGCGAAATATTTCAGTTTACATATTGTTGATGGTAATTACTCACATATGTGTAAACGAATATATCGTCGTTCAAATGTATACTTATCGCAGTCATTCCAGTTTCAATCCTTATGACATTTATGGATTGACAGTCCATTATCAAGCATCAAAACAACAAATGACCAATAGATCATCGCCTGGCAGTACCCATTAGATTGAAACGGACAACGGTCATATCGAGATTCAGCAAATGATAGAAATGAACATGACTGGTGTGAAACTGATTTTGCTAACCTTTCATTTTATTATAATTACAAATGTGTTTTTGTGTTACAGGTGATGTGAATTGTTAATAGAAGCATATGTGACCCAAAACGCAGCTGTTTATAATAGTTTGAATGACTGTTTTCCCCCCATGTGACTACTTTTAAAATTTTCCAAATCTCCATTATTTCAGTAAATAACTGAATTGTCTTTCGAGTTGTCTCTCATTGCATATACTAAACTCGGCATGAACAAATCGCTAGATCTACTGTTTATCATTATTTTGTATTGTGCCTTATTCTGTATTGTTATAAGTATTAGATTAAAAAATAGATACATAATAACTTTAAACTACAGTAGACAATAATAACAATAGTGACACATAATATCGTTTAATGATAAAATAGGTCGGAAACCAGTAAATATCTTGATTCAATTATGTGTATTCGAAAATTCATGAATTAACATTAATGTATAAGCCCCAAGATTCCCAGTGAGGCTGTACTGGGGTGGGATGTTACTCGTCCTCCCATGAATTGGTATATACTGAGACTCATGTTGGTCTTGAGTCTCCGCCTCTGTGACCCACTCCTTTATCACATTAATGATACTTAAAAATTTAAAAACTAAGCAGAAATTGAATAAAATGCATATACACATGTATGTATAGGATCTTCCGATATGCAATGGATTGCTGCAACGTCTTTGTTTCGACCACAGGCTGGGAGTTATGTTCTATAGAAGTGTCTCCCGTCCAACAGTGACCTGGAGTCATTTCGAAAGGTATCAACACTTAAAAACTTAAAGAACTAACCAGAATCTAAATAAAACACGTATACATAGGTATAGGATCTTCTGATAGGCAATGATGTGCTACAACGTCTTTGTTCCGACTGCAGTCGGGAAGTTTTGTTCATTATAATTGCCTCCCATCCCACCGTGTTCAACGTCTTATCGAATGAAACACATTTTTGTTTCTCTCCCTGTTATTTTCTCTTTTTCCTTCTAAAATATAATTATGCTTCCATGAACTATTTAAGATGCACATATCTTGTCTAATCGGCCCCAAGTGCATGATCGTAAGAGGCGACTATATTTGGGACCTTATCTCTTCTCTCCTTTCTAAATATCTTTCTTCTTCCTAATGTCTCCCTTGACATTGCTTCACTTTTGGCCATTTGTTGAGCGTTCGCCCCTGTGAGGAAGGCTTTGGGTTCTGTGCCCTGGCCGAGACATACTAAATTCTTTAAAAATGGTAGTTTATACTCCTGCTTAACGCTCAGCAAATAAGGAGTGGGACGACTGGTTCGCCCGTTGTCAGTATAATGTGACTGGGTGGGGCGTCCTGCTGGGTGTCTTCGGCATTGTGTTTCAGTGAGGTAGCACTATAAAGTCGGCATCAGTTCCGCGCTATCACAGGGAGACAAACACGAACATATTGCAGCCTCCCAAAAAAAATACACATACACTATACGCTTGCATCTTGCACACAGGGGAGACCGTCCTTAAATGACCTCAGCTGTTAATAGGACATTAAACAAAATCAAACAAACAAACAAACAAAGTCTAATCGGCGTGACTTGTGTTAAGTTGGCGCGGGTATGGGGAGAAGGCCAGTTGTACGATAGGTAGGAACCCTAGGAATAATTAAATCTAAGTTGATACAACGATATCTAATTATTTGTCACAAAGCATGGTGTAGTTTCAATATATGAAGAAAATTTAGCAAATCTTCAAAAAAATAGAAGAAAACAGTACATGTAAAGTAAATATAGCTACTGTCCGAACACAAGATATATAGATAGATACAATTAACATATATTGACAATAGAGGGGGGGGGGGGGGGGGNNNGTGTATACGCGCTGCTTAATTTAAGTTTCTTTTTTTAAATTTTGATTTGTTTACACATACACACGCCAGCTACTATAAAGTACACACCAAATCCCTCATTCCCACCCAAGCATAAAACACAACAATCCCCTACCCAAATCGATCTCATTATATTCAATGTTTACGTTATTTTTGGTATGGTATTAGGTTACAGATATGATCGAAACCCAATCAAACCCCACTCATAGATAATATCCCATACTTTACGCAGTTGTGATAAATTAAAACTGCGCTAACAAAAGCGCACATGTCATCTAACACGGACTAGTAAATCATATATTTAGATTGAACATTTCTCAATAAATCGGCTGCAGGAAGGATGGAAATTCACTCGAACCTACCTAATTGAAAAGACACATCACTTTTTCACTGCGCTATTTTCAATCCTATATGTGAGTAAAATCAACACGAAACATCACAGCGTATATTCCTGATCCAGCGTCTTTGTTTTGGACTCAGGCTAACATACACAATGAACACATCCAAATATTCCTTATTGACAAACCATACTAATGCTCACAAAATATTTATAAAATGTCGACACAGAGGACAACAACAGAAGAAAGCCAATGAAAGGTTTTACATGAACGAGGACATTTGTAATGACGAAAAGTTTCCAAAAGCGTGCAAAGAACTAGATTCGGTTTCATGAATGGACAACAAAAACAAGGTTAGTTAGCACTTGCATGACACTAAACACTAGCATTCAGTCCGTTGGAAGGGACTATAAGCGGTGTCCCGTGTGGAAAGTCCAAGTAACGACTGTGTATTGTCGTAAGAGTAGGCGTGATAACGCCGGCACAGATAATAGCTATTTTTAGATTATAATTATGAATTAAGAGAATTAGACGGACTTGAAAATATACAACAAAACCAAAACACAATAGAGAAGGGCTAGAGCCATTGGACAGTCGGGATATGGTAGAAACGCCATCTTCCTACGTATGTGCCGTACTAGACATATTGATGCAATGCGGCTAGCGCCAAATCGAATGTAATTTACCAACTATTCGGAGCAAGGAGTAGTCTCCCAAATTACTTATTAAAAAACACAAGGATATGATAAAGCATAGGCGACTTCCCCCCCCCCCTTACCCCACCCCTATCCCGAGGGAAGGCAACTCTCATCACGCCGACAGAACACTGACTTCCGTCAGGGAGACGAAGCACGTATGGGTGGAGGCATGTAGGCGAAAAACCCATACACCAACCAACTAACTTTACATTGGAATCCCTAGTTACGTTACTTACTATGCACTGCATGCTTTTTTCGAGTATGACTATTTATTTAATCAATCTTTTCTGCAAAGTGAAAGAGACATACATTATGCAACTTTTATGAAAAACAGATTTGAAATAAATAGGGGGGAAATAAAAAAGGTCCGAACGGGTTTCGAACCCCGGACCTCAGACCATTATGCTATTGATAATTCTAAGTCATTTGAGATGTGGCAAGACATTTGATTGGCCAATTAAAATAATTTGCGACATTAAATACCGTCCGCAAACTTCTCATTTGCATTGGAAGCCCGGGTAGCGAAGGTAAATGACGTCAATGACCCCGACTGACCCTGATATCGATGACGTCACGAATACTAGCGTGACTCCGAAAGGTCAACGTAATTCTGCCTCACCTCCAATATTCCTGACGTCACCAATCCGGGGCAGAGTGACCCAGAATTTGAAGAAAACATTGAAAAATATCTTAATTAATTAAAAATGAATTAAAATGGGGATCACCTTACTGTATTTTGAAATTTGCGTCGGTATATTTTGATAACATTGTTGCAAATAACCGTTTTACTGGCTTCGATCCGTGTCAATAGTAAAACTCAATTTCCGACAGTATAATCACGATATACCGCCTCAAATTTTAAAATACAGTAGGGTTATACTCTTAATGCCCTTCCGTGATTGTTTGCGATTGTTTCACCGAGAGGTACAGTATTCAAGACAGAAGTTTAGCCAGTTTAAACAAATTTTGATACCAGACAATTTGTAAATAAGGGTAGACACAAATTAACAACAAAGAGTCGTGGCGCGCGCCTTGTCCGTGCCATATGCCCAACGGCCGTATCCAACGTCCTATCTCCGAGGAAAAGAAAGTTCAAATACATCGCTTATAGCACAAAAGTCCGTGAATAGTTTCTTATATACAGAAACTATTGCTCCGAATTTTCACAGAAAGTCTAAGACAAATAAATAAATCCACCACGTCTATACCGCTATTCTACAACTTGACAACGATACAGAAAGTTGAGAAGATATCACATTAGAATATTTAAATGCGTGAAAAGCAGGAAACACAACACGCAGTATATACACTATAGTGTCCTGATTTCGTTCTTTTTAGGGTTAAAGCATGCCTTATTTTAAAAATGATGTTTCAATTTACTGTCAAAATAAGAATAAATATTAGGTATTGAACCGCATTAAGAACTTATAATTATGAACAATATTAAAGACAATTGTATTAGATGAACAAAATGAATTCATTGATATAACTGCGACCATCATAAAACAGCTGAATGTTTTAAGAAATGCGTTTACATATACACTCCACTAGGTGTTCGCTATTAAGAAGTGTGTTTTTGCATACATAATAATATATATTGATATGTGAATAAGTGAGAATCAACAAAGATACGGCTAAGCGTACTTACCGAGAATGTTGTAAACATCTTGACTTCTATTTCTTGCAATATCTTTCGGTCGGTGGCCGTCACTATTCTCCCTTTGTAACAGGCTAGGACATGCATCAGCTATGTCCTGTATCACATGTGACCACGGACGATACCATGCAGCCATCCGATGTAACACATTGCACCCGTCCTCGTCCACTACACTCAACTCCTGGACAGTCATCTTCTTGGCGAGGTATGCCGCAGTATCTTCTTTGTCATCCAGTATTGCAACCATCAGAGGTGTCCATCCTCTACTATCTGTTGCCCCGAAGTCCGCCCCATACCTGACCAGCTCCTTTACTTTATCGAGGTCTCCCCGGTGGGCGGCATCGTGTAGAGGTGTAGGTAATTCCATGGTCCGTGATGTCTGTAACACAATACAGGAAATAACGGACACTATACCTTTAACCCGGCGATTAATTTGGCATATAAAAACACGCGTTATTATAAATGCAGATCATTTGGTATTCTATTTTAAATTTAACAAAATATACTTCATAAAACAGCTGTAGTCCCATTCGTTTTTGGACGAATTGTATGCTTGTTATTTATTTTCATTGGTCTATTTAATGTATTGTTGTATTTTTTTGCAACTGATCACTTTTGATATTATAAATTGCCTTGACTGCAACACAATACATATGACTAACAACGTCTAGAATATTGAAATTGTGACATTTTCTGTTGTCAGATTGACAATCAATTCGGTGGGGCCCCGGTTCCCAACTGTTCACAGATTCAGGGGCTGTCACAGATCATGTACACCTAGTTTATGGAAGATTGCAAAAAGGCATTCACTCTGAGCCAGGTTCATTAACATAGAGTTGAACGAACTCTCGTTTTTGACAAGTATTGAGTCTAGGATCCAGGTGGTCTAGATTCCGTTTTCCACGTACACGGGGTGCCACAGAAACCATTCACACCTAATTTAACTACAGTTATAATACCGGTCAAGTATCAACTTTATTTGTTGCCGGACCGAGGACGAACGTTGTCCAGACGGTGTCCGAGTACTGACCGCCAGCTAGCCAGACGCTGTACGCATTATCGTTCGGGACAAACGCGGCTTGAACGGTCGTTAGCGGCCACTACAAAGAGCCATGGCCGGTCGCACAAACGGTCAATGAGGCCGCTTTACAGTATTACCGGGATATTCGGTCTTATCAGACTTATAGCGAATCACAAAATCTACCAAACCGCCGTGTAATCTGATTACGTATTTAAACCACAGAATAGGATTTAAATCCCTGCTTTAACACTTGATGTTTTTAATCGGAAATTATTTACCGGATTATTTTAAAAATTTAAGGTATTTTAAGTATAAGTGCTATCAAAATATGTTAATAAATCAGTTGAGAATGTTACAATACAATCGCCAGCAATTTTTATTTAAACGTAAAATAAAATAAAGTGTTGAACATCATTCGACAAATAAAGACATAAGTATTTTATTTTATCTAAGAACGAAAACATAATTTCAAGTCTGTATCAACCACATTCAACTATTTCTAGCTATCAAACAATAACGCGCAATTTTAATGACCAACCGTCAAACAAACACAGACATAATATACATTTCCCCATTTATCGGGAGGAAGAATGTTTTGTGTAATTGACTTTCATTCTGTCAATACACTGAATGTGTGTACTTCAATACCTTGGGTTATACAGTATAATGTGTCTGAGGAAACAAATCAAATTGCAAACGTTAAAGGTGTTTAAAAATAGTTTACGTATGTACAGTTAATCCCCAGTAACTCGAAATAGTGGAGTCGACATCAATAGTTCGAGGAAAGCATGGTATTCGACGAATCGGAGGTTCATCCGACATCGTCTCTTTTTTATCAAGTGGGACGACAGACCGTACGAGCACTGGCGATATAGCGGAAAATAGCTGATATAAGTAAAAACGAAGTTTAATAAAGATCGCAGCATTTAGTACTTTATATAATACCTGAAAAATTAAAACATTATGCCATCTGTATCAAGAAAGGAAATAGAATATAAAATGTAAGCTGTATGTGCAACGTACTTGTCGTTTATACATAATCCGCCGAACTTCTGAATACCTTTAAGTATAATGCTCATTGATAACGTAGTTAACAATTACGATGTTTTTAAGTTTGAGTTTGTGTAAAGACGGTTGAGAACCCACGATGTGATTTCCGCTAATATATCCATGCCTTTCAACTTTTCAACTTTCAACATTATGTCGAAATTTGGTTTTACACACCAACCTGGATATAAATTAACCATACTGTAGAAATTGTTGATAGTACTTAGGGATGTTGTTTAATTATAATGGAAAGTTTTTTAAAACACAGAAACATTGTTACAAAATGTTTCATTATTTTCATCTTTAACCCTTTGCGTGCAGCATGAATTTTATGTTATAAGAGCGTAGCTCTCGGGCGTCGAAGCTCTTTAATAATAACACATGCGTGCGTACACAGGGTTGCGTCCCCTTACTCAGACCCCAACGCGCTAACATCCGGGCCAACGCGAGTGATTAATATAAGTTGAAATAACTTGTTTCATAATTGTTGTTAAATAAATAAAGTTTATATATTTATATATCTTATTTCGTTCAGATATTATCATACCATGACGTCACAAGCACGTCACAATCCATCGGCCTTCATCGGCTATTTCCAGAAGAATGAAAAATAACCGGGAAATCCTGGAACTGATGTCCGTTGCAATTATCTCTTTGTCTGTGCTTAAAGACCGTTTTCATTTCAGTTTTTGCCACAGGCACAAAAAGTTAAAATGCGGATATTTTCTACGATCCTTTTTGTTATCAACCCGGTTCTGTTATTTTTTTCTACTGGGAGACATCTTCAAATAGATAAGTCAACGTGTACATTTGTTTATCATCATTTAAATTTCATCAGCTTTTGATTTCTATTTGCTAAGAGCATGAACGAAATAATTAACATTTTTGAAAGTCTGATTATAGTCTTAACATTATTTATGTATGCATTACCACTCATAAGAGAAGCAACGGAAAATGCATTTATGTCGAAATCAACAGTAATTTTCAAGACAACCAACCCAAGTGAAACGCCGTTTTTTCAGTAACGTATTACTTTTTCACGCGTGCCAATTTAGAACTAGTGACAGACACTCGGTGACAGTTACAAAATTTGAAAATTAATCCGGTGTTTCAGGATGAAAGTGTAATTTAGACTACGTATCGATATAACGACAATCTCAGTTACATCTAAGTATGACAATGTTTTCTTGCTTGGAAGCACGCAGAGGATTTAATTCTAAATATGTGAGGAAGCTTGAGTATTCGGTGAAAACCCGCCTGGTCGGGCAGGTGACCAGAATTGAATCCGGCCATCTTGGTGAAGACGAGCGCACTATCTACTGCGCCACCCGACCCATCATGTACGTTACGCACAAGAACAAATATCTACTTTAACTTTGACTGGAAGAAAATGGCGTCATTGATGCAAAAATTATATTGTGAATACATTTTTATCAATTATCAAATTTCAGGGCTCTCGTTGTCGGTAGCCAAAGTAGCCATTGGCTACTTTTGTATTTTACTGGCTACTAAAAATTCGAGGTGGCAACTAAATTGACTACTAAGTTTTTTTAAATGGGGAAACTCTGTATCTTTGTCCCAGAAAACGATCCGTCTACTCGAGCTCACGTGTGTATTGTGGCTGACACTGATTTCGTAAACATAATCAGGGCCGTCACAGATCAGCGCGCGCCGTACGACTGTGAGTTAATTAATGCTTTTGTCTAAGTCAATTATCAAGCTTCAGATGGCAAAAGTGTAATAATTCTTGTACAATAATGGACAGTGGGGTCAAGTTAATTGGTTGACCCATTGCCGTTGAGAAAACAATCCGATAAGCGAGTCACACATAGGTGGTCTCGCACACGTACATTCGACGAGTGATGGGTTAAGTATATTTAAATTAATGTACATGGTTTTCATTAACCTTTTCCAGTACCGGGCCAAGCATAAATACGTCCGATATGTGTTTAGTGTGTCACTCTATTGTTTAAGCAGCTAGCAAGATATACAAGCCGCTTTTGGAGAACATGCTTAACGGGAGAGCGTTGTATAATATCATACATGTTTAAATGCATTACAGAAATAATGTAAGCGGCTTGCATGCTATTTAAACTTATTTTTTCTACCTCAGTGTGCCAAGGTAAATATATGAAGCATACGTCACATGGGGACCGTGTAGACACATTCCGTACAATCAGCATTTCATTACTGATACTGCACATGTAGCCGGAGACATGGGCGGATAACCATCAGTCAGAGCTCCCTCTGCTGGTGCATAACATGAAATAACATATGTTACACTGATAAATCGTCTGTTCTTTTGAAAACCTGTTTTCACACAGATTCTATAAATACTCATGCACTACCTTCAGCGATCACGGTTAAACCCTTACCGACATGTATTATAATATTTAAATCGTGACACGTCAGTTGCCCATGATAATTACTAAGACCGACGTAACATTAACGAAATGAAGGGTGTTTTTCTATAATGAAATACTTAGCGATACTGAAATATTATATCAAACACGTATTTACTGTTTACTTATCAGACACCGGGACATACTCTACATTGCCTTTTGTTGATAACCCAGAAAGGATAAGTAGAAAAAAGGAGCGAAATAAAGTCAACCTAAACTATATAGGACTTTTACAGACTATATTGTTAAATCGATACTTAAATAAAAACGTCAAACTATTTCCTTTACGAAACCGCTCTCTTATCGATAACCAATCATGTGTTAACGATGGCATTTCAAATTAACAAACAAAGACGTCGACATAACCCGAGAAGATGTTGACATAGTCGCAATAATGTTTAAATTAAAGTTATATAACTACATCATCTAACCCCCTTTAACAGTCAAACTTTTTTTACTTTATTCTGCGGAAATGCATATTATGATTTAAGTTCATGTTCAGAGCCACTCTTTCCCCCTTTTTGCCATTGTTTGCACATAATTATTTGGACTAAAATTATGCTTTATTGAAAATGCAGGGAAAGTTAATTGAAAAAATAAACAAGCTCCCAGGCGATATGCACTTTCGTACATTCTGTACAAATATATACAGGATAAGTTTGCGGTATTGCTTTATCGCATCTTTCACGGGAGGATTCCAACACGAACTAAACTAGTGTTCGGACGTATTGGCAAATACAAATACTAAGTAAACTATACAACTTGCTGTAATGACAAATATTATAACTGATTAAGAGGTTTATCCAATTGGAATCGTCATACATTCACGTAATAATCAAATAAAAAAATAAAAATAAAAAATACGTTATAAAAAATAGAACCTAGATCAAAATAAAGTTTATTTATATTATAAATTATTCCTTGTTGTTATTATAAAAGGGTACTAAGTGTGGTTTATGCTGAAACGATTGTCTTACATACCCACGTGGTAGGGCAGGTGAACCCATACCTATTCACGTCCGATTGAGGAATCGAACGCCGTCCGCCTTTATGAAAGGCGGGTGCGTTATTCAGTGCGCCACCCAACCACCATAACCACCCTCTCAAAAGCCCGTAATTACAATTTATTGAAGGGGAAACGTCCTGATGAAATATATAACACTGCAGTTATTTCAAATATTGTCTTTGTCTCCTAAATAAGACCTAAATAATGACCATGTAGACGGATACTCCCCAAACTTGGTTCCCGGGTGTATTTTATACAGTGCCACTTGAGACATAAATGTTGACATGGTAGGCAGATTATCTACTGTTAGAGCTTTCGTTTTTCCCTACAGATGTAGAATAATGTCGATGACCTTGTTAGGTAGAGAGTTTAATATGCGTTTATTGACAGGTAAGCGATGTTGGCGGGTAAACCTCATAGGAGGTTCCCGTCAGCCATATCTTCATCTGGTAGTGCATAGCATGATATAACTGATAGCTCGTTTTTGTTATGAAATCTATTTTCACATAGAACCTATAAATACACACGTGCTACGTTAAGCTTTTTCTAGGAACCACTTACCAGGAATTAAGACAAAGATACCCTCCTGAAATGTTTGTGATTATATACGACCAACTAACATTATCAAAATATAGCTTTTCTATACAAGCCTGACATTTAACACAGGTTTGGGGTTTAAGGACTATGAAACATTCCCAGTCAAATATTTCTTTTACGTTATCACATTTTAAAGTACATAAGAACGAACCCATGCAGCATTACGCTATGACCATGCAATATGTCTTTTCCATGTCACACTTTTCTTTTTTAAAAGAGAACTACCATATCCTCTTTTAATAAGAATAAATAAATGGTATTAATTACTAAACTAATAAACTAATTTGCACGCAATCTATTTTAAGCTGAATAAATTATCATGATCATATGTTAGGTTGGTAGCTTTATCTAAGGGTGAACAATGTAAATTGGTAAGTTACACACATACCTCCAGTTATCCCTTTGATCTCATGAAAGAATTCTCAAAACGCAGGAATGTCACAATGTCATGATACACATGTAGCAAAATGTCTTTATGGTTACATTGTAGACGAACTTTCTACAAACAGCGTTAACTAATGTCTTTCATATAGATACAATATAAGTCACATTGGGACCGTATCCACACAATCCGTACAGCCAGAATGACCCTATAGCCACTGCACATGTAGCCGGAGACGGTGGGTGGATTATTGTCAGTCAAAGTTCCCTCTGGTACATAGCATTCAATGAATCGCTCTTCTTTTGAAAACCTGTTTTCACAAAGGATCTATAAATACACCAGCACTACTTCAATTGACCTTGGTAATACCCATACCATCATGTCATGTAATATTTCAAGCGTGACTTGTCAGATAACTATGATAAATATATGGACCGACGTAACATTAACATTTTTTTTGTTTGTATTAAGGCATGTTTAGCGATATGAAAAAAAATCTTATATTAAACACGAGTTTGTTGTTGCCTGACCGGTCAACGGGACATACACGACGTTTCCCTGTGCTGAGATAGGACAGAGGTACGTAGAAAAAAGGAACGAAACAACCTTAACATGCCTGAACTATTTAAGATTTGTATATACTTTAAATATTGTTTAATCGATTATTAAAATGAAATAAAAAAAGTCAAACTGTTTCCTTTAAGAAACCGCTGTCAAGTTTTCTATATACTTATACGGTAGTCTTTTGTCAGAAATAGTATATCAAATTTCGAACGCCTCTTATATGTCAATGATATGTGATGTATGCCGTAGAGAACAATTATTCGATTGCCATAGAACAGAAGACATCGATTTTATTATCATATTCCTTAAATCTAGATCTTGACTTAAAATTATATACACTCAGAACATTATAATGCGATTTTGCACACTTCAAAATATATGTTTACATTGTAGACGAGTTCTCAACAATCAGAGCCCCCTGGTGTATCTTATACATACAGTAATTATGTTATTGTGGTCTATATTAGCGGACTACTCTTCAACCAGAGGGCCCTTGTGTATCTAAAACATAAGTATAGTATTGTGGTCTACATTAGACGGGTTATTCTTCAATCAGATCCCCCTGTTGTATCTTATACATACAGTAATTATGTTATTGTGGTCTACATTAGACGAGCTACTCTTCAATCAGAGCCCCTTGTGTATCTAAAACATAAGTATATTATTGTGGTCTACCCCATGACCCTGAAGACAAATACTCCTATATCTGAGCCCGTGTGTGTATTGTATACACCGGCTAGTGTGGTCTACATCATGCCCTTGTAGACAGACACTCCAAAATCATAGCTCCCCACTGATTCTACACATATAAAGCTAAGGCACTACTGTTGACCTGGTAGACGGATCCTAGTAAACGGAAACTCTACAATGTATTTTATACAGAGGTAGTTTAAGCCTAAATGATGAACCTGAAATGGATCTGAGCCCCTTCGTGTATCGTATACACCGGTTATTGTGGTCTACATGATGGCCTTGTAGAACGATATCCTACAATCTGTGAATTGTGTTAAGGACAATACATTGCCATGCTTTTTAAATGTACAAAATGTATTTAGAAGTGTTGAAAAAGTATTTTTTTACAAGTTATTTAATCAGTTTGTCTATTCTATTTAATTAAAAACAACGAAACTTACAAAAAATGACAAACATCAAGCATTCCATGAAGTCTCCTTAATGCATATTATATATATGTGTGTATGTGAGGGTGTGTGTGTATGTGTGTTATGGACTGTGGTCTGAGTGTACAACATATATATGATTTGCTAAGAAAGTATTTCATAATTTTTCAAATGTCATCAAATAATGTTTCATTTTCTTGCTTATAATTATAACTTGGTTGAATGTTCTAGCCTATATGTTTGTAAGTGTATATGAGTGTGTCTTGTTGAGCAATGCATTAAATTTGTGCTTTCTGTCCATCTATACCGGTTAGGAGAAGGCTTATATAGGCTAAGCATCTTGTCTCATCCAATTGTTCAATTTTTTGTCAAATAAAATTTGTTGAAATAAATAAGTATCTTTTACATGGANCTATTTTAAGCTGAATAAATTATCATGATCATATGTTAGGTTGGTAGCTTTATCTAAGGGTGAACAATGTAAATTGGTAATTTACACACATACCTCCAGTTATCCCTTTGATCTCATGAAAGAATTCTCAAAACGCAGGAATGTCACAATGTCATGATACACATGTAGCAAAATGTCTTTATGGTTACATTGTAGACGAACTTTCTACAAACAGCGTTAACTAATGTCTTTCATATAGATACAATATAAGTCACATTGGGACCGTATCCACACAATCCGTACAGCCAGAATGACCCTATAGCCACTGCACATGTAGCCGGAGACGGTGGGTGGATTATTGTCAGTCAAAGTTCCCTCTGGTACATAGCATTCAATGAATCGCTCTTCTTTTGAAAACCTGTTTTCACAAAGGATCTATAAATACACCAGCACTACTTCAATTGACCTTGGTAATACCCATACCATCATGTCATGTAATATTTCAAGCGTGACTTGTCAGATAACTATGATAAATATATGGACCGACGTAACATTAACATTTTTTTTGTTTGTATTAAGGCATGTTTAGCGATATGAAAAAAAATCTTATATTAAACACGAGTTTGTTGTTGCCTGACCGGTCAACGGGACATACACGACGTTTCCCTGTGCTGAGATAGGACAGAGGTACGTAGAAAAAAGGAACGAAACAACCTTAACATGCCTGAACTATTTAAGATTTGTATATACTTTAAATATTGTTTAATCGATTATTAAAATGAAATAAAAAAAGTCAAACTGTTTCCTTTAAGAAACCGCTGTCAAGTTTTCTATATACTTATACGGTAGTCTTTTGTCAGAAATAGTATATCAAATTTCGAACGCCTCTTATATGTCAATGATATGTGATGTATGCCGTAGAGAACAATTATTCGATTGCCATAGAACAGAAGACATCGATTTTATTATCATATTCCTTAAATCTAGATCTTGACTTAAAATTATATACACTCAGAACATTATAATGCGATTTTGCACACTTCAAAATATATGTTTACATTGTAGACGAGTTCTCAACAATCAGAGCCCCCTGGTGTATCTTATACATACAGTAATTATGTTATTGTGGTCTATATTAGCGGACTACTCTTCAACCAGAGGGCCCTTGTGTATCTAAAACATAAGTATAGTATTGTGGTCTACATTAGACGGGTTATTCTTCAATCAGATCCCCCTGTTGTATCTTATACATACAGTAATTATGTTATTGTGGTCTACATTAGACGAGCTACTCTTCAATCAGAGCCCCTTGTGTATCTAAAACATAAGTATATTATTGTGGTCTACCCCATGACCCTGAAGACAAATACTCCTATATCTGAGCCCGTGTGTGTATTGTATACACCGGCTAGTGTGGTCTACATCATGCCCTTGTAGACAGACACTCCAAAATCATAGCTCCCCACTGATTCTACACATATAAAGCTAAGGCACTACTGTTGACCTGGTAGACGGATCCTAGTAAACGGAAACTCTACAATGTATTTTATACAGAGGTAGTTTAAGCCTAAATGATGAACCTGAAATGGATCTGAGCCCCTTCGTGTATCGTATACACCGGTTATTGTGGTCTACATGATGGCCTTGTAGAACGATATCCTACAATCTGTGAATTGTGTTAAGGACAATACATTGCCATGCTTTTTAAATGTACAAAATGTATTTAGAAGTGTTGAAAAAGTATTTTTTTACAAGTTATTTAATCAGTTTGTCTATTCTATTTAATTAAAAACAACGAAACTTACAAAAAATGACAAACATCAAGCATTCCATGAAGTCTCCTTAATGCATATTATATATATGTGTGTATGTGAGGGTGTGTGTGTATGTGTGTTATGGACTGTGGTCTGAGTGTACAACATATATATGATTTGCTAAGAAAGTATTTCATAATTTTTCAAATGTCATCAAATAATGTTTCATTTTCTTGCTTATAATTATAACTTGGTTGAATGTTCTAGCCTATATGTTTGTAAGTGTATATGAGTGTGTCTTGTTGAGCAATGCATTAAATTTGTGCTTTCTGTCCATCTATACCGGTTAGGAGAAGGCTTATATAGGCTAAGCATCTTGTCTCATCCAATTGTTCAATTTTTTGTCAAATAAAATTTGTTGAAATAAATAAGTATCTTTTACATGGACAATATATTTTACCATTAACGTTATTATTTCTAGTATTTGTTCTACCCTTTAATTGTATCTGTATTTAATAAAGGCGTTAATTGCACTTATTTTTTTTGTAAACAAATGATATATGGTTATAAATGATAAATGCATACTCGCCAACCTTGTGATTATTTGTTTATGGAGGAGAAGCCGTGTGCTCAAAATAAAATATTACAAAATAGGAATAATTATAAAAGATGTGTATATGCCCCCTAGGTAAAAAAAAAACAACACTTAAGTGTGTCAAATTGCCAATCGTCTTTTTAGTTGTTCTTTCTGATGAAATCATTAGGTAACAAAATAATTAAGCAAGTTTAATTACTGGCTGAAAATGTTCAATTCTAGCACGGACTTAGATAGCAATATAATTCAGTGGTCTGACCTATGAGTCGAAAGGTGTTAAGGGGACGTAACTCACAAGACCTGGAAAAATAAGCTACATGTAGATATGATTCATCATTTCACCAAGGAATTAGACTAGACCTAGGTCCATGACTTTGACTAATTTTTATATGTTTTGCTTTTCGAAACGTGTGAAATAATCAGTTCTTAAATGTGAAAATGAAAAAATTGATTAAGTGATTACATGTAACGTTTTAGTCAATTTTCAACAACGTGTATAATCCATTCAGATACGTGGTCACTCACAAACTATACTTACATATCATTGATATATCTGCATGGTCACACACTCTAATTATACTATAAACCACTGAGATACTTGGTCACTGTCAGTCACTGGTAATTTGTTCACTAGATGAAAGTTACATGTACCTAGTCACGAACAGTAACAGACGCACTACCTATGGACAACTGAGATACCTGATCACAAAAAAATATAGTTCGCTGAGATACTTTTACACAAAAAATACTATAGACCACTGATCGAGTTCCCTGGATACAAACTCTCACTATAGACCACTGAGATACCTGGTCACAAACACCTACATTAAGACTATTGATGCAACACTTCC